ATTGTGCGGGATTGAAATTTGAAACAAGTTGGTCATGATTTCAAAATTTGAACTGTCAACCAGGGGTAGCCGACTAGTATAGCCCAGACCGTTTTTGAAATATTTTAGTTCTGGTCCGGCCGTCAGAGTTCGCGATTAGCATTCTCATAATAAGTTTATTTGTTTTTTGCGAATGTTACTTAACTGTCAACGCAATCAATGAAAAAACACAAAATTGAGTCTTGTTTGTAAAATAAATTCCTGGAATTTGAGGTAAAATTGATTTTTGTACTAATCTACGATAATAATTGCTAATTGTTTAGAATGAGTTTCCACAAACGAACTTGTTTTGCTGTGGTGGGCTTCCCATTTAAATCTGGGCCTCTCTTTCGGTTTCCGCGTCCGAAAAAGGAGCCACTTTTTGCCAGACTAAATTAAGAGCTCCAGTGTGTTCAAAAGTCTGTTCCCCAACTCATTGCGTTCTGTTAATATTTGTCAAGGTAAGTTCAGTTAAATAATAACATTGCTTTCTAACTTTTTGCTTATTAAAGAAAGATACACGTAAGAATATAACAGTGAGGAGTTGCGGAAACATGCGTCGTCGGTGTCAGTACCAAAAGTGGGATTTTAAAACTTAGGTTTTAATTCTTAATTTTCTCAACCCATAACATTCTTCAGATCAGATGAAAATTGATTTTTCACCAGAAGTTAGCAATCCCACTATTGATCTGTCTTTTTCCACAACACAAAAAGAAGATGTAGAATTATCGAAAATGTGGTTTTATATAAAATAATATAAAAAATGTGATTGTATTTTAAAAATAATATTTTGTCTAAAACATTTTTGATTTAATTTTAATAAAAAATAATAAATTGAAACAAAACATATTTTCAAAATTGCCGCCTTTTCTAGTTCACGGGCCGGACGTATGATGACGCCACAAAGAAACTTTTTAAAACCATTAAGTAGGCGTTCTATTTTGTAGGTGTTCTGTGATTTTACCTTTCGTCTTGTCATTTTATTTGACGTTTTACAAACATACGTTTTCGAAGCCAAAGATCACTCGATTACAAATTATTTTGATCTCTCCATAGTATAGTTTCGCTTAATTTTAAATTGAGAAAATATGTGTTAATTTTTTTTTTTTGTATATACTCCCAAAAATAGCTATTTGCGGACTCATTTCAGTCTCCAAAATGAGTCTTTTCCGGACTTAATAAAATGGTACGCAAAATGGTTATTTTAGGTACTTCAAACATAAAATTGGTTATTATGGTAACGAAATTATTTTAATTAGTAAGAGGTGTGAATTCGTGTTTTGGGAGCTTTAACAAAAAAAAATTGTATGCTCCTCTCATTAAAGACTCGGCTCCTACGTCGCCTCGTCATTAATTACGATTCGTCCCCTAAAATCCTATTTTGCGTACTTGATACATAAATAGCTATTTTTTTCTTGGGGTAATTTTATTAATATTAATTGAGTCTTCTAAGTTGTTTATATTTTAATTGTCATAAAAATCTGTTGTTAAATAACAAAGATTTTAGACTCTAAAAATCTCTTTAGATGCGTATCAAGTACCACTTTATCCATTAGTGGAATAAAGTAACTTTATTCCACTGTTAGTAACCAGCGCACCGCGTAACAGCTTACTCGTACTACGTTTAACCGAAAACACATTTGGCGTGACGTTTAAATGTCAGTTTAATTTTTAATTAAGTTTTGAATAATTTGGGCCTGTGGTTGTGGATAAAACGTTATATTGTCAAACTGACGTTCTCGCGGTTAAACATTCTTGCGTGGATAAAACGCTATCTAACACACTCTTACAATAAATAACTATAATTATTTTTTACTAAAAACAACAATTAATAAAAAAACAACTACGTTGTGACCACAGAAGCCCTTTCTGCATTCATTTTTATTTAATTTCAAATTGTAAAAAAAAACTTTGACGTATTTAAGAATAAATATCGCATACTTATTTCACCTATTGATAAATTTGAAATTGTATTTTAAAGTAAAAATACCGTTTTTATTATTATTTTTTGCATCACTTGACGCGGAATAATTTTATCTTTCAATAAGTACCATACCATCACCTTACTTGTAGGTTGTATTGGCGAGCTGGAATTAGCAAAAATAAACAATACCATGTTAAATTCCTATGATCGCGATTGAGACCGGACACCCGGTATAGTATTATAGACTCGTATAGTATTATTATTATTCTAAGATAAAATACGTCGTAGAACACCGTGCACGAATGTCTTCTATTTATTTCACTTACTTTTAAATAATGACTGACTGTATCACCTAAATGAAACATAATTATCATCTGACTTTGTTTTTTTTATTTTTTAACTTATTTTATCCATTATTTAGTTAAATATGTATAGGTACATTTACTTATTTTTCTAGGAAAAAAAAAATAAGATGAAATATAATGGATTATTAAACTATTACAGTAGTAGTTAATGGTGTAGAAAATAGATAATAAATAATATTATAAWTTTTTCCTATTTTCTTCAGTCTTCTTCAGTCGGTTGATTCATTGTTTAGCTTTAACACAATGTCTAATAAAACAACTTTTGATGACCGCTTTATAGTTTTAAAAAAAATCTTTTTTGAGTTTGGTAATTGTAAAGTAATGAAGACTTATAACATGGTCTGCCTCATTTTTCATTTAATTAGTATTTTACTTCAAATCCATTTTCTCGTTCAAAATTTGAGTGTAGAACTTATTACAAGATATGGTTGCATGTTGACAGTGTTTGCTTATGTAAGTAATGGAACAATAAAGTAATAGTTTTTTGACACATTGTTACAGTTAATAGCGGCCATGTTTTTCTCTATAATACTTGAAAAGCGTATGAAATTATTAGAAATAGAAACATCAGCCTTTTTTTGGCCAATGGATTACTGTGGACCCCAAGTGAAAAACCTGATTTATGAGCGATCAGCGCAAATTAATATTCGAAATTATTTCACGTTGGTTTGGTTTGCACTTTTAGGAATAATTATGCTTCCAGTGTGGGGCGACCAAAGAGAATGGTTTATGTGTATACAAGTTTTTGAAAAATATCTTGGAGCTTATTGGAAATTATGTTACTATTTTTATTTTTCGACTGTTCCGATGATGGCATACATGGCATTTCGTCTGCCGGGTTTAATGCTTTACGGAATTTTGCAAATACATTTACAGTTGATGCTCGTCAACCAACAAATTATTCAACTTTCAACCACTCATAATTTAGATGTATTGGCCGATGGAAACTACCAGAAGATGGTTTTTAGAAAATTGTGT